TGCCGATCTTAGCCGTAGCCGATTCGGACTTCAGTCGATCCTCACTCTGTTTCCGGGACGATTTCCATCTCGATTTCTTCTTCATCTGCGATCCTTAGATTACCAAATTTGGTCGTTAATAGTGGCATGCCACAATAGTGCATACGTGTTAGCTGGACCCACGAGTTAGTCAAATAGAAAAAAAATATAATAAGAAAAACATATTTTCTCCTCTCTACCTTAGAATTTTTATCTTTTTTTCTGTCTACCTAAGAGAAAAAAAAATATGGTTTTAATTTTAATTTTTATATATGCTTGACATGTGCATTTTAATTTTTATATGCTTGACATGTGGATTCCACTAACACATAGGCGTCACCGTGGCATTGCCACGTCAGCACATGGAGTGGGTTAGAATCCATTTGGACCTATATGACACACATGGCAAGTTCAGGGACCTAAAAATGCATTTCGGGAGTTTAGGGATCTAATAGATGACACACCGGCACAAATTTAGGGACCGCCCATGTAATTCACTCTTTCACAAATGTAAATGCAACAAATAAATGAGACAAGAGACAAGGAATTTTTCACCGAGGTTCGGAAATTCGCCGGTTTCCTAATCCCCGTTGAAGCGAGCCCAACTCCACCGCTCAACCATGATGCCATCGCACACCCCCTTCGTCAAGGGGTGGGCAAGGCGGGAGCCGGCGCACGGAGAGGACTACCCAAGCCTCGATCACTAGGGGTAGTTCTTGTTTCACTTCGAAGGTGGTGAACTCTAAACCACTCACAACCGGCGCCGACCTCCTCCACAATCTCCTCGGATAGGTCACCGGGCAACTCCTCCACAAGCCGTCTAGGAGGTGGCAACCTCCAAGAGTAACAAGCAATGGCGCAGCTCGGAAATGATCAAGTGCCACACTAGCTTTACAATGGAAGCAATGCACTTGACTCTTGGCTAAATCAACCCTCAACCACTACAATGGATGAACACAAGCTCAAGTGAGTGTGGGAGAGGTGCAAGGGGTGTATGCAATTGAAGTGAGTGCCAAGAGAGACCCCTTGCTACTGGTGGGGGAGTATTTATACTCCCACCAACCAAAACTAGCCGTTGGGGGCGAAACCCCCCAACTCAGTGTACCGTCGGTTAGACCACCATTGTGTGGCTGGTCAGATCGTGCTACTTTGTAACGTCTAGTTTTCTAGCCGTTACAAGGAAATTAGTGAGCAAATTTGAATAGGTCGATAAGACCGTAAGACCGCGGCTGGTCAGACCGGCCATGGCTCGATCAGACCGCCGTTGGCTCGGTCTGACCGGCTACAGCACTGGCGGCTCTGGATCGGCCACCCAAAGCGTCGCTGCCAGCAACCAGGGGGCCAGTCAGCTCGGCCGGCATGCGCCAGTCAGACCGACAATATGGGCCCGGTCAGACCAGCCCTGGTCACTCAACCCAGTAAACAACAAGTATTGAAATATGAGTCTAAATGCAAATGACCTAACATAGCAATTTGAATCATCTCTTTGCTAGGTCATTACCCTGCTTAATAGTACGGCAAAGCTATAAATAAAACTAGCACAATTTGATCGCCCAACTCCTCGATCAATTTAAAATTAAAACACTACTTTACCGTCTTCTTTCCTTTGCTTTGCACCATCAAATTTTAATCCTTCGGAAATCATCCATGCACACATATCATGTGGTTCAAACTCAAAATATATAACTCAAAGAGAGTGGTTAATCCACAAATAGTGCTTATCATTAATTACCAAAATTAACAACGGGGCCTAGATTCTCTCTCTCTCTCTCTCTCGTAAATATTGCAACGAAGGGATTTGAATCCAACCCAGTCAATGCAATTGAAATGATTTCAATACGGGCGCGATTACTCCTGTAACTGACGAATCAATCCCGACTTATAAAAGGCCACCACCGGGATAGACAGAAGACACACCTCAGCTGCTCTGTTCATCCTCTCTCTCTCTCGCTTACTCTTCCTCGGAAACTCTCTGCTCTATTCCTGCACCAACCACTGCTTTCCCGGTCCTGTCACATACGCGCATGGGTAAACGGGACGAGCAGGCCTCTGGAACTTCGTTCACTTGTGTACCTGCACAAGTAGGCGGGCGATCAAGTTTTTGGGGAGCGCTCTCGGGCGCGACTGCTCTGCTTCCTCTACGTCAACATATCTGATGCTGGTGCTGCTGGAGGTGGTGCATGCGCAGCGAGCGGTGGCGCTACTTGAGGAGACGGATCCAGCGAAGGTCCATTCTCGGGGTATACTTCTATTCTCCCAATTCTACTAGATGTTTCATTGTTAATATTCATTGCAATGTCAGCATCGCGTTATCATGTGAATGTTGATGCTTATATTATAAAAAGCATGCTCATGTTGCTTACATCTAGTACTATCACTAGATCAATTCCCATTGCGAATGTTATGTTTATTATCTTGTTATTTTGGATTAAAATATGCCAAAGTATGATGATATTTCCAACATATTCCAACAAGACTTTCACCCTAGGTATGAAGGAAGATTTGATGGCAGGCAGGGATACCAAGGTGGATGAAACAATCATTTTAGCCTTGGTTGACATGGTGGTGGGAGCTTTTGGTGCTAGGAGGTCGCAAGGTGGTGTTGGGTAGTACCAACACTTTTCACCAAGCAGGGTGCGATCACGTTCTCCCGGCTAGACACTACTACAGAAAGGGTTTTTCCAAGCGACCAAAACAAATCTTCGCATGCAATTGGCTGGCCCATCTGCCCTAGGTGTCTGTGAAGATCACAATTATTGCGTGCAGGCAGCCCAACCGCATGCAAAGATCCATCTTCGCAGGCTGGCCTCTTAACGCGCCCGCACGCAAAGATACATTTTTGCATGCGGCCGCATTAAGAGGCCCGCCTACGGAGATAGATCTTTGCATGCAGCCATTTAATTGCGAGTAAATTTCCTATATACCCTTGAAAACTCACACGATCCCTTTTATACCCCTGAAATTTTAACTTGATCCCTTCCATGCCATTGCTGTCACATTTTCCTTCATTTCACCGTCATTTCCCCGTTAAGTTGGTGGCAAATGCCTTTAATGACCTTGATGATTTAGGTTTGAATATAAGCTTGAAAAACGATTGAAAATTTTGCTTGAGTGCAGAATATGTGCATTTTATCTACAAAATGAGACTAAATAATTATTGCAGAAAATTTTGAAAATAAAACAATGTAATAGATTAAAATTTTTATTTGAAAATAAGGACTACTCGGATTGTATCCATATTGGTCTCCCAAGTTCTACTTGGACAAGGGAACATCCATGGATATAAATACAAGGCCCTCTAGGAGGAGAGGAAACACATATACAAAAAAAAAACCAAGACAATCCAGAACAAACCAATACACCACCAAATATCGACATCCGAGATAAGCCTAGACAGACCCAATCTGGTGCCTACGGAAGCCGACAAGAGGGATCTAGTGCCATATCTGATCTCAACGAGTTCATACTCGAGAAGTAAGACTACCCTATCGTCGACTACGTATTGGTGATCTATGTCGCCAAGTCGACAACAGCTAGATAGGTTATCTCAATTATTGTACTTGTGTGATTCAGATGAATAAATAGCAACACTGGCTTCGGCCAACAGGAGTAGGGTTGTTACCTTCCTGTGAAGCGGCCAGAACCTATATAAAAATCCTTGTCTCTATCTCTTTTATCTCAATCTCGCATATACCCTGGTACCAACGATCCCCACACCATGCAAATACCGTAGTCGTGGCTCAAAACGTTGACAAAAAGTTCTCCCAATTGGCCTATTGATGCCCTTCAATGTCACACTAAACTCCAACCGATCAACACCATCCGGACCATATCTAACATTGCCTTGGCCGTGAACTAACTGAAATGTAACCTTACTTGACATTTTGCCCGACAAAAAGAAAAGTAGGTTAACTAAGTTAAAATCATAATATCCAGATCTAATGTCGCATTCATCAATTTCTGCTATGCCCTAGTTCTCAGATTCTAAAACATATTGTATGCCCTAGGTCTTAGATCTAACTAAAATATACTATTAATACTACAATATTACAAAAATTAACAAGGCAAAAAGGTTGAATGTATTTACCTACGGTGGAGTCAGCAAATTAGCAGGGCTTCGCCGCTGCCCTTCTCCTTCCACTCATCCCTCCTTTCTCTTTTTCTTGTATTTTGAGTGATTTTAATGGAATTATGGGGGAAGGGGAAGGGGTTTTATACCCCGAGCAAAAAAAAAAGAAAAAACATTCTCCTCAAGGACGGCAAGGGAACCGCCTACAGAATAGCAAACCCCCGCACCAGGGTTTCCAGGCTGCCCCCTCCTAGAAAAAAATATCTCTAGGAGTGTAGCAAGAGGGTTGCTTGCAAAAAGCCAAGCCGCCCTTTTGTAAGTGATCCCCTCCTAGAAAAAAAAAAAGCGCTCTCTGAGAAAGCAGTAAGGAATCACTAAAAAAATACCCTCCTCTTAGCATGCTCCCATCCTAAAAAAGACGCTGAGCAGTAAGGGCCACCTACAGAAATACCCAAAGACGCTAAGCAGTAAGGACCACCTGCAGAAATACCCTCCACTTAGTAGGCAATTCAAAAAGAAAAAAGAAACCCTATCTGAGAGAGCAGTAAGGGGCCACCTACAAAAATACCCTCCGCTTAGCAGGCGGTAGTTAGTCGGAGCCAACGATCGTACAACACGTCACAAAAAACACAGTGAGGGCATTTTTAAAAAAAAAACACCCTCCTAAGGGCGTGAGGCGTCTAATTTTGTAAATTTTCAAAATGAAAAATTGTTTTTTAAAATATTGTAATAAATAAAAAAATTTCCGAGTTGGAAGACGATCCAGATGAATGCTAAGTCGACATCAAAATGGTAAATCTTGTTCACAAGTAGACGATGGTTGAGTTGATAATAATGTGCAAAGATATGCTGCCATTCTTGGCGCTCCATTTTTCAAAGAGTGAACTCAGGTGCCCTACGAGCATCTTTCAAATGTCCATAATTCCTGTGTAGATAGGCCTCTCGATAGATATAGTCCACTAAAAATGTGCTGGCTAACACAAAAGCTTCATTTGAGCGTTACCAGTTGTGTAGCAGAAAAAAGAATCTAGAACTTCTATAGACAATTGATTGAGCCTAAAGACTGCTGCATACCACATTATTACCACTTACAGGAGAAATATTTTGACAAAAAGTACAAACCAGATTAACTTTGGCACCACAAACACACTTTATTACCCAATTATTAAGATAAAAGAATGTCCAAACAGCTAAAGCAGAAAATCAAATAAACTAGAGTACACAAACGTCCTGGAGAACTGGAGATGGATCACCTGCAATGTCACTGTTACCAGTTAGCACCTGACCCAAAAATGACAGGTCTCAGTAAGCTATTTCTCGAGTAGAAAAGAAAGATGTATTGCGCCTTACAAGGCTTCTTATGCAAGCTCGAGAACGAGAGCAGATGCTCCGCCTCCGCCATTGCAAACACCAGCAACTCCGATTTTGCCACCTTTCTCCCTAAGAACCTATTCAAACGACAATATTAAGTTCATTTATATCAGGGACTATGAGAAATATGTATTATAGATGCAATGTCCAAAAAGAATTACAACTGAGAATATCTGAAGAGAGTAAGGATACCGACTAGATAAAAGGAAAGGAATATAACAGTACAATTAAAAGAACATGGATGAGGTGTCCTGAACAGCAGAATCTCATAAAATCATAGGAAAACAGAGAGAAAATCATAGAACAAAAGGACATCTCAAGGTAAAACTTACACCAAGCAGGGTGACCAAAATTCGAGCACCACTGCATCCAAGAGGATGTCCTAAAGACACAGCTCCTCCATGTACATTAATTTTTTCCTACAGGAGCAAATACCAGCAGAGTATTAAGGAACTAATACATAAATATTGGGCCACACTAAAGATTGCCAGCGAATTTCAAATAGTGAAGGGAACTTAAATGCAATTTCCAAGAACAATTTAAAAAACAATTAGTTCCAGAAATAATTATAGTTGAACTAAGGCAGCTTACTGAAGGAATTCCAAGAAGCTTTTGATTTGCAAGTGCAACAGCCTGTATTGATAAGTCAAAAATAAATACCATTAGAATTTTTGGAACAAATTATGATTACAAAAAAAAAAACTAATAAGTTGAATACAGATGATCAATCATACTGAAAAGGCTTCATTAATTTCATAGTAATCAACACGAGAAGACTCCAAGCCAGCATTAGCAAGAGCCTTAGGTATGGCAAGTGCCGGGCTAGTGGTAAATAATTCAGGAGCCTGCATAACAAAATTGATAGCTGCGTTAACAATAGAATTCTTGATTAGGAATTCAGATATAGAATAACATTCAAGTACTAAACTCCAAAAGTACTCCGCTGATGACAGATTCTTATTTCCATTCACAAACCATATCATTTTATTAAGGTACCTCAGAGGGTGTACAATATTGTTTAAGTCAGATTAGAAGTGATACTGTGGCTTACTTGAGCTGCATCTGCAAATCCTTTGATTCGTGCAATAACTTGCAGTCCAAGTTCTTGTGCCTTCTGCCCACTCACCAATACTAATGCGGCAGCACCGTCACTGTTCCATGTAAAACAAATTAGCTAAGAAGCATCACACTCTCACTGGATAAACAAACACATCTGGGGATTTTACGCACCAATTGGATAAGAACAGTCAATGAACAAAGCATAGAGTTGAAAAGTGGCATTAATGGGGAACTCAATTTACCTTAAGCAAGTATAAACTTTATACAGACCTCGACATTTTATTTTTTAGGATGGTTTCTTGTATACCACTGAAAAGTTTACCTCATCCATCCCTCAGATGCCACTGATGTCTCAATGACGTGGGACAAAAGTGGCATTTAAGGGAGAGGTGAAATTTAGTTATTCATAAGGAATCTCCATTTTCATTTTAATAGGACTAGCAGTACTAAGAAAATAAAAAACATTACAGGGGTGGCAATTTAGAAGAACAACAGTTGAATTTGGTTACACAGGATAACAGGGAAAACAAATCAAATGCATCACCTAGTAAAAGAAGAAAACTTCAAAACTCTGCAGTGGAATAACAAGTCTTTCAGCATATTTACACATACTTGTGTAAATTAATATGATGATACAACTGTTCTGCTAACATAGGTAGTCCTAAAACCATGTACTACAGAAATACCTCACAAATCTTAAAAATAAATTAAAATAAGTGTCAAAGCAAGCACCTTATACTAGAAGCATTCCCAGCAGTAACAGTACCACCATTCTCCTTGAAACTAGGACGGAGCTTCTTCAGTTTCACTGGGTCAAACTAAGAGGCACATAATGATCAAATTACATAGTACCATTATGGCACTAAAATATTACAGAAATGTTCAAATGTGATCTTTTCCTTGGCAAGCTTTTAGAACACCAACAATATTGTGCCTACTGCATACTGACGTGTTTTTTAGCCTAGTGCCAATACACATTACACTGAAGAGTGCATCAAGGCACCAAGTTATGCTTGGAAACATGCAATTTACAGCTACAGGTGAATGTTGACTAAATTACAAGACTTAGTTTATCGTGCCATATTTGCTATATAGATTGTACCTTGTCCAGGCCCTCATCTTTGTCAACAAGTACCGGTGGTTTCCCTCTCCCAACAGGAACTTCAATCTGGATGGTACAGCAAGGAGAATAAGGAAAATAAATAAGTCACATAAAAGAACCTAGTGGTGGTGACAGGTGAGCCCACCATCTTTTGAGTTAGTATGATCTTCTCTGGATAATATATCATTTGTGCACATGGTTTGCAATAATGTATTTGTTATATAGATTCATATGGATTGATGATCAACTGTGAATTAGAAATGTTCTTTTTCCTGAAAAATATATACAGCTTTTTAAAATTCAAAATTGTGGTAAATTTATATGAAATCTGTTGCCATTAATGAGCATTTGGTTAGTAATAAATAAAAAAAATTAGTGGCAGACAGGAAATCACCGGAACAATCTCCCATGCAAAAGCACCACTGTTCCGAGCAGCAATTCCACGCTCATTGCTTTGAATAGCATAGGCATCCTATAGAAGAATTATTAAAATATCAGATATGTTACTAATGATAAATATATGTATTACAAAGTATAATAGAAATATTACAACAAATCAATGTGATCACCGGGACATGTGATAGTTCTTGCTCTAGTATTAAGACATCAAGATATATCAACTTCCTCTAGAAATAAAAGCGACAGAAAAACATATGCTGTTTACCAAGAGCAACCTATATATGAAATTAATGATTGTATTTGGTGAACAAGAATACAAAATTTTGGTACAATACTTTTTTCAATTTGGTTTTAACAAGTTCACCACCATCCTTTGAAACAAGCAAACTAGAATATTTGTTTACTGATATGGAGCATCATATAATCTGCCCTAGCAATTCCTTATGGCGAATCCCTGGTATAGGAAGAGTAGGCTCCTTGCAGTTAAGCAATATTGATTTATGCCATACGAAATTCAATCTGTATGGAATGTAAATTTCCCTGCATTCTGAAAAGAACTAACAATTGTTTATGCACACTTCTATTTAATATTCACTGTTACCGAACCTCCAGAAGCAATAACTAAGATAGTTTTGGTTTTTTGAGTCAGGTAGACAAGTGTAAGAATAATATTACAACAGAAGGTAGTTACTCCTATTTATAGTACTAGTAAAAAAATACCTGGTCTTCCCTTGTCAGAGCATGATTGTCAGCACAAAGCTCAGCACAATTTCCCATGGCAAAATCACCGTATACATCCCAAAGGCCATCTTTAAGCATGCCATCAACAAGAGTGTCATGTCCAAAACGAGATCCTTTTCTGCAAACATACATAAATTAAAACTGTACATAAGCCAAAACAAGAACCTCATATATTTTAAATTTCAAACTGAGAAATATGTCTAATTACCACAGTGAAGGTTAAGTGCTCTATACTTATAAAGTAGACTTATGTTTCATTTATTTACTATGTAAACAGATAAAGTGGAAGAGAAGTACAGAGAAAGCAATGTGCACATGAAATCGTTTAAGAACAAGGCCCTAATCTTCTTAGAATATATATTTTCAATTTTCATACTACACTTTTCCTCGCATACTATTGTTTGCCAATTAAATTTCTGTTGTACTTTTATTGTGCGCTGTATCAGGATGTACAACCAAAAGAACACTTTGCAGACCTAGCTTCAGCAATGTATTTTGGAGCATTAGACATGCTTTCCATGCCACCGGCTACAACAATATCATTGATGCCCAATAGAATTGACTGTGCTGCAAACATTGTCGCTGCAGAAAGGAAATAAAAACAAGCCCATGATCAGGTAAATATAATTTCTTGAACAGAATTTATAGAAAGGCTGCCTCATGAACTGTAACCTTTCATGCCAGATGCGCAAACTTTGTTAACTGCGCTGCAAACAACTGTGTTTGGTATCCCTGCACCTAAAGCAGCTTGTCTTGCAGGAGCTTGCCCCAAATTAGCACTCAACACATTACCAAAGAAGACCTCTTGCACAAGGGCTGGATCAACATTTGCCCTCTTCAGAGCAGCTGATCACCACACTGATGATGTTAGTTATATTTGGGTTAAAAGAACAATTACACATACAGCATATGAGAAGATACTGGTATCACCTTCAATTGCTATGGAACCAAGTTTGGTAGCTGACAAGGAAGACAGGGCACCTAGGAAACCACCCATAGGGGTGCGTGCAACCCCAACAACACATACATCTGTCACCATGGAAGAAAAAAAATATTATTATTGCAGTGCATCACAGTGCTTTTACCGGAGTATATTTTTTAAATGACCGAGACATGCTGATTGCAGAGAAAGGCAAACTCTGGTGGAATGAACAAACACAGAGCAGTGAAACTAGCCACTAGATGCAAGATTTGAATCTCATGCTCCCGTTTATTCTTTCCCATTAGTACTTTGACAACTAAACATTGCATGAAAAGCACAAAAATGAAAATGAATTTGCCAACCACCAAACAAATAAAATCCTTCATTGCAACATATTAGATCAGGAATTCAGGAATAATTGAAGTGAGGTTCAGTAGAAGAAGAGACAGCGAGAGATCAGTCGTACCTCTCGAGCCAATGTTGTCCGAAGCCATGGCCGCTCCAAGTCCAAGGTTCAGCCCCGACCTGCAAAAGTAAGGCCCCCTTTTAGGACAGATTCTGATTACGCAGATTGTAGCTACTACATCCAACGCTGGGATCTGTGATCGCATTTGGGATTCTCGTTGCTCTCGTGGACGGACGTGCGTGCGGTGGGAGAGAGAGAGGGTGTGGCCTTTGAATCGCAGGCGGAGGTTTCCGGCCGGCGCCGCGGTGGATGGCAAGCACGGACGCTGCTTTGGAAGAGAGAGAGAGAGAGAGAGAGATGCTTGCCTGAAGCTGCTGGATCTGGCGGCGGCGGCGGCGGCGGAGTGAACGAGGCGGAGGAGGGAGGGGGTTTAGGCGGAGAGGAGAGGAGATCGCGGGTGAGGAGCAAAACGACACGGGAACGTGGCAACGGCAGGATGGAGGAATGGGGGAGATGAGCAGATGCACGCTGCTCCTCCTCACCTCATTGCTGCCGTCATTTTATAGGCCCGTTTAGATTAGATCAGACAAGTGAAACTGGGATGGTGGCAGATGGAATCATCTAGTTTGTGACATAAATTCCAGTTATCTATATTTGTTGCTACTCCCTTCATTTAAAAATATCAATTTAAGATAGAACATAATATATCTTAGGACAATGAACTTGGACAGGCAACGTCAGACAAATGGGATAATCTAATTTGTTACATAAATTCCCCATATCTATGTTTATTACTCTTTCCTTCGTCCCAAAATAAACCAACCTACGATAGGATATGACATATCCTAGGACAATAAACTTAAACATGTATATCCAAGTTCATTGTCTTAGATATGTCACGCATATGGAATAATCTAATTTGTAACATAAATTTCCCTTATCTATGCTTATTGCTACATCCTATTCTAATTCCTAGGTTGGTTTCTTTTGTAACGGAGGGAGTACGTGGGTTTTTCTTTTAAAAAATAGAAATATACATATATATGCTCGTATTATAATTATATACATGACAAAAATTAAGTCAATATATCTTAATACCAATGAAGTCGCCACATACTCTATCGTATAGCCACCTAAAAAATGAGTACTTGAATCTAGATGAACAGCTAGATCATAAACAGCTAAGGCATAAGGCATGCTCAATTCGTGTTCTGTTGGACTTTAAGTACTTATGTTGCATAAATAATGCCATTGATCCGTTTTACGGATTAAAATTAAGGTTAGGCAAAATATGTCATCCTAGGTCGTTTGGGACCTAGGCATCTAAGAGCTATGGCAATATGAGTACCGATGACTTCTTTGAGTCTGGCTACATCAATCTTATCCTTAAAGATAGTAACACATAGCTCTAAAGACTGCAGTTGTTTCTATAGACCAACAGCGTACTCTCTGTCCATAAAAAATATAACAGCGGTACGTGCTCTATAGTTCCATCCACCCTTGCCAATAAACAAGCACACAACAATGGGATGGTCATCTCCCATCCAATTTTATCTCTTCAATCAAACGGATCTATAACTACATGTTGCGTGGTATAGCTTGCTAGTGCCCAAGCTTTATAACACAGCAGATGAGGTCAAACCATTGTGGTTTTAAAAGCAATTTTGCTAAACATTTGGAGTGACGATAGCATTACAAGGATTTTCTAGCCTCTCTTGGAACCTTTCTCTCACGAAAGCCCTCTACAATCACTCTCTTCTAGCCAACCCCTTCTCCCCCTCCATCTTCGGCAGTTTCGTCAATGGCGAAGGGAGGGAGAGGGGTCGAGCTCCTCTGCTCCCTTAGTATATAGTAGTAGTAGTCATCGGGTTCTATTGTTTTTTCCTTCTTTTGATTCCCGAGGTGGTCACTGGCGTCGACCATCCCCCTCCTAGAGCCATGGTGGGCATTGACGGTCTTACCTCCGGTATTGGGTCATTGTGTCGTGTTCCTTGCCACCATCAACTAGCCCTCCATGCCCAGAGTTGGGAGTGAGCTAGATCTGGATCTAGACAGTTCAAGATAGTGCCAACCATCTTTCCAATATCTAGAAAGGGATCCTCAAGGGCGGTAGTCCTCTTCATCTCTTTCGGTGGTGTTCCTTTGTCAGGAAGCTAAGCTTGACAAGTTGTGCTAGTGAAGCTTCAACCTCCATGCTTCAGAGCCTCATCTAAGGCTCAATTCCTATGCATTACGGGTATGCTTCTCACCTTCTCGACCTTTTATCCTAGAAGCTGCAGTTGCATGTGTTTCAATTCTGGGTATGAGTGATTTGGGTTCCTCTCTTAGTGGATTGGCTACAAAGTTCCCATATCTCCTTTCTCTTTCAAAGACTTGATTTCAAGATGAAGCTAATGTTTGTGTATAACCAAGGCCTAGAGGAGTGGGTATTCCTCGTATGCACAATATTGTTGACAATCGTTAAGTACCAATTTCAACTGTCAATTAGCACAATGAATAAAGGGAAAATTAACATCTCTTACACATATATCAATAATAAATAATGTAATTGTATCTGGATTGGAGAATTAACTTGGATGCAGGAATTATACACTCAAATAAAGGAGAAATGAAGCTGGCATGCAACGAAACATACTTCAGGAGAATCACGTGCGAGCAGACGGATTGAGGGACCTACAAGTCAGCTCAAACCAACTCAAATGGGGCCAACCACCCAGGAACCGTCATAGGGGCCTACCTGTCTTCCACCTGCCAAAGTCGGTACCAATGACGGTGGGATGGGTTCAGCCGAATCATACTTGGCACGCCTGGCACCCTCCTTCCGTATGATGACTCCTCAGCAATTCTTGATGGCGGTTATGCACGGTTAGATGACTATTAACCGCCATACAACCGTCATAAGAGTGCTATAAATAGAGCTTACTCTCTTCACTTAAAACACACTTGGCACCCCTGTCAGGCTGGCACCGGGGCTTTTAACTATTTGCCACTCTTACGAGTGATGCTTAACGATTTGCCACTAGGCCCACATGTCATAGACACATGAGGACCCACATGTCATTGGCAGGGTGTGGCAAATCGTTAATTGCCATGTCACAAGAGTGGCAAATAGTTAAATTTCCCGGCACAGCACCCTCCTTCCATGTGATGGCTCCTCAGCAGCTCCTGATGACGGTTATGCGCAGTTAGCGGACTGCTATTAACCGCCATACAACCGTCATAAGAGTGCTATAAATAGAGCTTACTCTCTTCACTTAATACACACACCTCAGGAGCAATTCCCTCTCACACTTTGTATTCTCTATGGTTTCTAGTAGGAATAAAGCTTAGGAGCTTCGGCCCTATAGTCTTCTCGAAGTTTTGGGTATGTCTTTAGTACTTTATAAGACTATAGTTGAAATAATATAATATTTTTATTTATTTATTTATTTATTTATTTATTTATTTATTTATTTATTTATTTATTTATTTATTTATTTATTTATTTATTTATGCTCATAGCTTATATATTTATCTATTGAGTAACATACTCATATACTCCTATGTAGGTATATTACATATGTAAATACCGATTAGGTCTAATATTTCATTTTCAACTTTTTTCCTTGACATATCCACTGCTACATATCCTCTCAGCTCAGAACACCTTTAGGCTGTGTTTGGTAGGCAGAGTTGGGAACTCTCCCTCCAAATACACAAAACAAAATGGTTAATTAGCACGTGATTAATTTAGTATTAGCTATTTTTTTAAAAAAATAGATTAATATGATTTTTTAAAGCAACTCTCGTATTTTTTTTAAAAAAAAAGTATCGTTTAACAGTTTGGGAAGCTTGCACGTGGAAAACGAATGAGCTGGAGTTGGGAGCTGAAGATGCCGAACTACCTCAATTCTCTAACCCTACCCTACCAAACATAAGCGCATGAGAGCAGGTACAATAGTAAGCTATAAGCCAGCTATAACCACATATCGAGAAGAAAAGAGAAGAGGGAGAATAAAGCGGGCTACAGATTTGTAGCCGGCTGCAACACAGACTCCAAGACGTTGTGTGTGTATGAGAGGTGGGACCGTGTATTAATGGTGTAGTATATTTTTATAGTTAACTATTGTATGAATGGGTTATTATAGCTATAGATAATTTAGAGCCAACAATTAGCTATACTATTAAACTTGCTCTGACCCCTACAATTATTAAGTGAATACCTAGCCTAGTCCTGCGTCCGCCTGCCAAGGCCTCTGTAAAGCCCCATTTGGGATCAAGGTGTGATCCGTTTGGGATCATGCTGAGGTGTGATCTTATGCAACTATCCCTGGTCGTACTCCCTGCCTTCCTTCTCTTTTTTACGGCAAAAATTCCACGTTGCTCATACGCTTATGCGATTCCATCGATATTGATTCTCTTTCATCAGCAAGGAGCTACAATGCAATCTCTTCCAATGCTTGACTTGTAGTGTTACTGTTTTGGATTGCATTGTTTAAATTTCTCATGTTGATAATTCGATAGTTAAGTTTGAAGTTTTTATTTTGTTTTTTTTTTCATGTGTAGAACTTGTACTGGAAACGACGGTCTACTTGGCTAAGCTATTTCTACAAAACTAAAATTTTGAAATGTGATCTTTTTAGAATAATTCTAGTCGTTTTCTCATAAATCATGAAAAGTGTGCTGGCATAGAAAGTGACAAAGGAAAACCTCTAAAATTCTAATAAACCATACCATCTGCAGCATTGGAAAAATTTTGTGCCAAGCAGGAAATTAGAGTCCGAAGTTGTACATTGTGTCCAAACTCCAAATTGTTCAATCTCAGAGCAGAAATGGAGTGGCACAGATCCATATTCAGCGTTCGTTCTAGATACAATGAGTTAGAAAGTGCATCGTTTTCAGCGTGCACGCTTCCCAAACTATTAAACAGTGTGTTTTTTGCAAAAAAAAAAATTATAGGAAAGTTGTTTTAAAAAAAAATCATATTAATCTATTTTTGAAATTTAAAATAGTTTATACTCAATTAATCATGCGCTAATGGCTCACCTCGTTTTGCGCATCTTCCCCCAATCCCCTGTCCCTCAAACTCACCCTAACAGTTACCCATTTGAGTCCATCCGGACCGGACAAAAGTTGTGAGAAAATCACAGGAATTGAACTAATTCTTGCAAAATTACTGCATTCCAAAAAAAAGCCCATTTCAAACCTCAAATTTACATGAACAGGAAGCAACAATAACGGAGCCATCGTTTCGCTTATTCACGAGCGGAACGGCATATTTACACACGAAAAGTAATTTGTGAAAAAAACTTTTATATACATATTCTTAGTGATCTAAAAGCAAAAGGCTAAAAAATAAACTTCTATGAAAAAAACCTCAAATTTAAGGTTGAAATTTCAAATTTTGGATAATAAGTATAAGTATAAGCAAAAAGATAGGGCCTTAAATATCATGAACCATACTATGAGAAGACTTTGGAAGTTTTTAGTGACAGTTTGTATGCTTTTTCATAAGCCAGAGAGCTCGGAATCTTGGTGCTTTGGCTGAAAGCCACCTAAAATTCCCTCTAGAGATGAACATTTGAAAACCGAGAAAACGGCCCAGATAAATGCCTAGAGCATGTTTGGTGTGAGGTGCTTTTATCAAATGGCGGATAATTATGTGATAGCATATGCATGATGTAAGTAATAATAAAGATAACACCAAAAGCACGTGAGAACCTAATCATCACTGATATGAAATCACAAGCAGAGATAACAAGTATAACAGTAAATGATCAGCAAATCACTCCATAGTTGAGCATTGATGATTGCAGTTTCCAGCTCCACATAATTTTGAATCTGATGGCAAATATCTGGCAGAGAAATTGTTCTTAATCAGCATAATCTAAATTCTAGTGATATGTTGACCATCTTTCATTATGTATTTGGATCGCACCATTAATCTTTGAATCTCTAGGGAATTTGCTTGTCACAAGACCAGTCAAAGGTGGCTCAATTGAAGGGCATCACCTACTAGCGTTAACTAACCACGCTGGCACTCCAGCCGTCTTGTGTTCTCCAATAGCACCTGTTTCATCATAGTGGACACTGATCAACATGAATACATAGCAAAGCGAGAGAATCAGTAAGATCCTGACTATCACAAAGGAAACTGATCAGCTAGTTTGTGTGAATGGTGGGTGGATAAGTGAATACAGAAGAAAATGTTAGCCCAGCTCCTCACTCGCAGCTCACTTTCTAATGGTGTTTAGCTCTTGGATGAGAGCACAAATACACAAAAGGGATTTATTTTGGCTGCACACCAGCCCACCACCACCACACGCACAATACCAGCCATGTTTGCCCACACGACCAGGCCATCCCCTCTAGTAACTAGCTCCACGTGCATGCGGAAAGATCGCCTCCAGCTCTCCACTAATCCCTTCATGCACGCTAATCTCTTCACTAACCAACTAACTATGCATACAGTTAGTACAAAGTCCACTCAATTCCTATATGCACCTACTCACAGAACATGATGAAAACATAAACAAGAAGATTATCTCTAACAATCACTCCCCTAATCTTGTTGAATAACACCTCCACACCGAGCTTCATCGCAACGTGGGCTCATCATCCGCAATGGCGAGTTGCGCCACACCCTCCATCACATTCTTCTTCAACTCTTCATACTCGTCACTGAAAAGTGTTCGAATTTACCACTTGCGGAAACCAATCTTCGACTTATCAAACCTGCCGCAGTACTTCTTGGCATCTCTAACATAGGCCTCGTCGCTATTCCTCTCTTCGGCAAACTTGGCCTCCAACTCATCGCGCGAGAGCAGCAGCTACTGCTACCTTTCCTTACCATGACGTTGGTGTATGAAGCATCTTTGGCAGGGCAATGTCGTTGCAAGGAAAGGGAGCAGCAGCTGCTGCTCACGCGCGCCGAGTGGAAGGCCAAGTTTGAAGAGAGGAAGAGCAATGAGGCCTATGGTAGCAATGCCAAGAAGTACCATAGCAGATTCGATAAGTCAAAGATTGATTGCCGAAAGTGTGGCAAATTTGGACACTTCACCAACGAGTGCGAAGAGTCGAAGAAGAAAGTGATGTAGGGTGTGGCGCAACTCGACATTGCGGATGTTGATGATGAGCCACGCTGCTGTGAAGCTCAGTGTAGATGTGAAGAATAAATACAACAAAGATTAGGAGGGTGATTGTTAGAGTTAATGTTGTTGTTTATGTTTTCACCATGTCCAGTCAAGTCTTGTACGTAGTGGTTTGAGTCCAAATTGGCTATTGTGTTGCATGGCGTCGTGAGCTGAGCATCCGTTAGTGAAAGCACGATATGGTGAGCTGATCAGCCGTTAGTGAAAGCACAGTGTGTGAAGGAAGTTTGGCATGTCAATAGTGCTAATTGGAGTCAAGGGATGTAGTTTCATGTTGATTTAGCCAGTACGTGGATATAGGAATGAGTGGAGTATGTACTACATGCACGCATAGTTAGTTGGTTAGTTAGTGGAGAGATTAGCGTGCATGCAGGGTGATCTTGCTCATGCACGTGGAGCTAGTTGCGTGAGCGGTTGGCCGGGTCGTGCGGCCAAACGTGGCTGGTATTGTGCTTGTGTGTGCTATTTAACCATGTAAACGGTGTGTGATTAAGTGTGGGGAATACAAGCACAGTGTATGGGGGTGCGCAGGTGCGCAGCCAAAATAAATCTCCTGTGTGTATGTGTGCTTTCATCCGAGAGCTAAACATCATTAGAAAGTGAGAGCTGCGAGTAAGGAATTGGGCTAACAGAAAACAAGATCAAAAGCAACCAGCAATAATGGGACTAAGCAACAAAGTATTATTTACCTCTCGGATGTAGTTTGCGATAGCTTTGCAGCCTTCAATTGCAAGGTCCATTACAGTTTCAAATGTATCCATTGGTAATTTTGCATCCATCTGAAAATTACCTTTTAAGCATTAGTCCTGCTTTGAGTGAATAACTAGAAGTCTTACAAAAAAAGATGCCCTTTAGTATACAAATAGCACAAGAAGTGTTTCAGAAGAGAGCACATTGTATGAGGAATTGTGGTTGTGCTGTTTGTGTGTATAGATGAAAGAACTAGGAGAATTCAAAAACTTGCAGCAATCAAAAAGTAAATCATGATATTTTGTGACCTGCAGAAGAGTAACTTTGTCCATCTTTGTAAGAAAGCCAACAGTGACATCTGGACCTCCAGCACTGTCTTCTATATAATTCAGATCTGAAATAGCATATTAAAATGATTGAGGTTTCTCAATGCTAGATGATTCTTTCTAGAGATAGAATATATAATAATGTCATACCAAGCAAAGGAGTAGAACACAGATAACCAGCACTGCAAGATGTAACAATGTCTCGCATGGGAATCCCAGCATCTGCAAGTGCTAATGTAGCAGCATTGATGCATGCAGCCCTTGTACCTGTTAAGTACACAACCATGTTCAAGATGTGTCAGAAATCAAAACCATTTGGAGAGCCGAGCCAAAATATTTCATAAGTAGGCAAATATGTTGTAGCTGGACTAAGCAACAAAAAAGAACACATTGGAATTGGTAGGCATTGCAAGTGTATGTATCGTCGTTTAGCAAAGTACAGATTTAATCAGCCTCTTTTCTGGACACAAGATAGCCTTGTATTGCTTTGGTTTGTCAAAGGAAAAAAAAGAATTATGTCATAAATAATGGACAGAATCTCCAAGGCATATAGATTGGACATCGGAGCTAAAAAGATGTGAAAGTGCACTCACCACCATCAGCTTGAAGAACTTGGACAAATATATCAATCTGTAAGCATAATAAACATTGACAGTGGATCAGGATACCATTAAAAACGCAAGTTCCTTGAAGTTACTGAATCCAAGGAACTCACCTGTGAACGTGGCATTAAATGTGTTAAAATGCTTGCCTCCATTGTTTGCCGGATAACAAGTGAAATTTCTGTTGATCGCCTGTCACATGATTGCAGCATTAATGGTCTAGCTTGCTACTACAGTTTTGTAAAATGGGACATTAAGTACATGTTTATGCAATTCAAATTAGAACTGATTTAATTGCAAGATCTGATATGCTAGAGGTCCCAAAGGTTCCTTTGACACACACTATTTGATTAGAGAACACTTGTGTGAAAACAGATTCAAACATAACAAAAAAAATTGGGCATGTTTGCTTTGATGCCAAAATCAACCTTGCCAAAACTTGGCACTACCAAAATTAGGCCATTTACTGTGATGTTCGCCTGTTCAGTGAGGAAATTTCTACCGTAAATCAAATTTTCTTATGAAAAGACATTGGGATATTTGGGCTTTTTTATCTTGGCAAATTTTGGTAGCATTGGAAATGGTAGCAAAACCAACATGCCCATTACTTGCTGCAACGCCAGCAGACAGTTCTGTTACTTTTATCCAAATCTAACTAATAAAAAACAATCCATTACTATAAACAAATGGGTTTAATTTTTTTTATCAAATTTTGTTCTTCAAGCTGAAATGTACCTGTCACCCTTTGGCTTTCTCCTTCGATCCCCAGTACTAAAATCTGCCATCCTATACTCACAACGCACCTGCAGACACATTTCTTAGGGATGCATCCTACAGAAGAGTTTTGATGCTGAATGTGTGTGGACAAATGAAACATTACCAAAGCATCTTTGCTGTTGACTTGCTGACCTTTGTTCTGGACCTGAATGAGCCCAAAAGTACAAAAAAAAAATCATGAGATAACAATTAGTTAACCTTTTGACTAACCATGCCTTTCTAAGGTGGGGGAGAAAAAAGGATATGAGAAAGCAATAGCAGAGCAACACAATGAAGAACTGCTGGAGGGATCAGGCGCATCCCTTTAGGCCATGTTCGGCTAATCCCACCAATAAGGGGATTGAAGGGGATAAATTCCACACCTCCCCCTCAATCCCTCCCTCTTGGCCTTCTTGGAGATTAACCGAACAAGCCCTTAGCAAAGAAAGCAAGAACTTCCAACTTACAATATACAATGTCTCGCTGAGGAACCATAACCACATGTTTTACCGCAAAATTCATCCTAATGGTTTTGAGTCCTCAGACATGTTAGACTTAACTGCTTTTCCCCCAAAAAAAAAGCATTAATCAATTTTATTAACCATCAAGACATTTCATCATGCATTCTGAAAAAGCACTGCAAAAAGTTGGTCTGTTTTGTTGAGGTATAACATAGGCATGAAAGTAAATTCCACAGGGACGATTCATCAAACATTTCATGTACATGGCCTATCTATCGTCTAATGCATGAGAAATCACAGTAATCAGGGTGAGCAGCAACCTCTCGAGGGCCGTAGACAGCGGCAATGACCCTGGTGTTGCCCATCTCGAACAGCGCCGATCTGCGCAAACGAACAATCACAAATTACACAGCACAAACAGAACAACACCAGCAACGAAACTACAATGGGATAGTTCTGATTCCATTGTCGTCGGAGCATCTCCTCACCCGTCTGCCCTGGCGACGACGCCCACCTCGCCCTTGAGCTGCCGCATCTGCGTGATACCCAGCCCGTGTAAGCCATGCCTGCGATTGAACAAGTGGAGGGGAAACTGGAAAGAGGATGGAGGAGAAGAGGGTAGGGGTCACCTCGTTGGGGCGCCGGCCGTCGACGCGGAAGCCGGTGAGAGGGTTCACGTACTCCATCGCCGGAGGAGCTCTACCTCTCTCTCCTAGCCTCTGTTGACGAGACAGCGAGGGGTTTCCGCCGCCGGCGATGAGCTCGTGGCTCGCCTCGTCTTCTGGGGAGCAGAGCTCGGAGGTTGGCGCGGCGGCGGCGGAGAGTGGAGGGGGGCGAGCGAGGCAGTGAGACGTCGAGGGCTAAGAGGCATGGAGGCCCAATAATTTGTCCATGTGTGGCCTACTCACCTGGCCCAAATTTAGGGTGAAACTCTCTCAGTGGTAGCCCATTTAACATTCCTCTCATTTTTACATCGAGTTTAATTGATAACCTTAAGTCGCAATACCAGAAATCATCGTCCCTAATCTTAGCAAGACAGAACAAATCAGGTCCTATGATAATATAATAATATAGTTGGTTAGTTTTTCTGACATGGCATCTTATATAAAAAGAAATAAAAAACGCACATGTAAGTAGCTACCTCACCTAGTCCCAACCTCTTTCCTTTCCTCAAGTTTGGGGAGGAGCACGAGTGGGGAAGTGATAGCTCGAGGGTTAAGCCCCGGTTTGATTCAGCTTAGAATTATTATAATCTAGATTATTATGAATAAGTTGAAACAAACAGATAGCTTATTATGATATGTTATTATAATCTATAAGCCATATTACTATAATCTGGTAATCCACTCTGTCAGGGTTACGGATAAGATATACCCTCTACACTTGGATATATGTTGTATACCGATACGGTATATCTGCGCGTATACGAATGTTTCTTGTACACGTTAAGGAAATCTATCACATGATAGAAGCAGAATCCGCATGTGGAAGAAATCCTACTCAGGCAAGACTGGGTCGTTACTATATCGTGAGGGGTCCGGTACTTCCGAGTCCAGCTTGGAGGATAACTAACCCGCGATCTAAAAGGGACCCCCCGGAAGGACCTAAGGCATTGAATTTCACCGCTGACACATCCACCTCAGCCTACGAAGTCGGAGCCTACGGGAGCCAAGCCGCCGGGTGATCTAGTCGAACCAACTCGACTACGGTCTCGTCGGTATCATCGAGTTCCGCTATTCCTTTTGTAATCTGTGGTTTCCATCATATAATCCCATATCAACTGGATTAGGGCTATTACCTATCAAGGGGCCTGAACCAGTATAATCTTTGTTTTATGCTTGTTTGATGTCGTACTACATAGATCCTCGTACCAACGTACCCCAATACCCTCTATATCTGGTCTACGGGTATCCACCGTCGACACACTCTAAAGGTGCTTTTTTTAGATTATTGGGTGGCTAACAGCTAATAATCTAGAGAAACAAACAGCTAACATCTTATTATATGTCGGTTTACAGTAATCTGACTCAATAGTCTAGATTACAATAATCTGAAGTTGAAACAAACAAGGCCTAAGTGGCATGGACAATAATTTGTCAATGTGAGGTCCACTCACATTTAGAGTGAAACTCTGAGTGGTAGCAAAAGAGTTGTTTTTAGCCGAGGCAAAAATTTGACGGTAATTTACACCGATTTACGTTTCAAAGCAGGGCTGAGGTTGCCGATTAACAAACAACTTGTGCCAATATATTTCATAGGCTGTGTCTATTTGTCAATTGAATGATTTTTTTTTCTTACCTATCGTTCACTTTTTGTCAACACTAGATCAATATCCAATTGCTCATATTTTGGTTTCTTTTCTTTCTCCAGACAAACAATATTCTAACACCAATGTCCAAATTTATGATCCCTATAACTATAAGCATAAAATTGCATCTAGATTCGTTGGATTCATAAAAACAAAGAAAAAAGAATGCTGTAGCTCTTTTATACTAATGTTGCGCTTTTCTTTATTATATGCAAGCTTAGGACCTATTTAGGGCTTGTTCGGATCGAGGGATTCGAGGGATTCATGGAGGAAAAATGGAGGATTTCGATTCCTATAGAAATTAGTACTGTTTATGCATTCGGAACGGAGGATTCTTATTTAGGAAAAATAGAGGAAACTTTCCTACGGTGGTAATTTCATAGGAAAACTGCAGGGAAAAAAAATCCAGTCAAACCTCTTTGTTTGCGTTCCCATTGCGTAGGATCGAGGCAAATGAAGCCATGATGCCACTAATGTAAGGCTTGAGCATCATTAGGCTTCTTCTTTTTATTATTTAGTGCTATTATTTAGGATAAGACTATGGTTAACTCTCTAATCAGCTTTGCACATATCATCGTTTCCTGTTTTCCCATGGTTCATCTTGACATCCTCCGTTCCTATGAAATTCCTGTATTTTCAAATCATATGTTTTACACATGCATTCCTATCGTATTCCTACGTTTTTTCTATTCCTGTGTTTTTCCAACCCTACATTCCGAATAAGCCCTTTAAAGTATGGTTCTAGCTCCTACCGGTCCAAATCCAACCAAAACCGGAGCGAAATGGGTTGAAGTGCTCTGGAAAATTGAGCTGTGGTAATGGAGCCGGAAAAAGGTAGCTCCACAGCTTTACTCCCCGACCAAATTACACCGCTGTCCATTGGTTTTCATCGAAATTATGGGTGTTTGGAGAGAAAAATTAAATTTTCGTCCCTCCACCTAGGGAAGTAAAATAAAATAAAATGCGCGGGCGTGCCAGTGTACTAGGTACACAAAATAAAATAGACGAAGGAAAATGCATTTTATTATAATTCTTGAAGAATTACACAAATACAAAATCCTTAGTAAAATGCACTCCACGGCCCATCGGCGAAGTGGATCTGACTTGGCGATTATGTCATCCTGGTTCCCAGGGTTTCGGAAAACACCCGGTTAATTACACTCGCGAGTTAAACCTGCGAGACACCTCCGATTAAGCTGCGCTGGTCATCGTCATCGATCTTCGCTTCACGTTCTCCCATGCATGGTGTGGATGTGGTGAGTGTGTAAGTGGGCACCGGCAGTGTTCGCAGCCTCGTTGATCTGCGTACCAGTGTTGGTGACGTCGTCTTGATGTAAACTCCGCCTGCCCCGTCGTCTAGCCTCGTCGGTCTTAAACGGCGTGCGGTGAATGTGGTTGGTTGATTATGGACATACAGGATTCGTGCTCAGCTTGGCCGTCTTAGCGCCTTGATTATAACTTGGGAAGAAATTGATATGGATGGGATGATGACCAGAAGAAGCAGTGGACAAATCAAAGTTCACATATATTTGTATGGCCCTTTGTGAGTGTGACAAGCACCGGAACAAGCATTGCACATCTCAAAGGATATGCAACTATTAACCACATACATATGTACATGTATATTCATGTGCACTCATGTATGTTTACAGAGGCAGGATGCCACATATACATCACATTCAGCATTCACGTGATGGTGTTGGTGTCGGTAGTGGTGCTGAGCTTGAATATGTTGGTAGTGGCGCCAAGCTCGAGTATGTCCGTGGCAGCCATGAAGTGGTCATCAGTGAGAGCACGAATGGCATCGGTGGTGGCGTCGAGCTTGAGAGTATGCCGACGGTGGTCATGAAGAATTCATCGGTATGTGTATGGATATAGGAGCAACAAAGACAACGCGGTGGAGATGCCAAGCTTGTGGTCACTGCCGGTTGGTGTAGCATCGCCCTTCTAGTCTCCACGGCAGTGACCGAACATCGTCACGGTACAGAAGTCAGTTTTCTGATCGCTGCAAATCATATTTAGTATCAAGTGGTTTTAGGGGATGTTAAGGGTATAGCCTAGCCTGAGAACGATGAGACGCGTTCCAGGAACTGGGTGGCCCTCTTGTATATACGCCAACAATTGGAGCTGAACCCAAATTATATTGGGCTGCCTCCGATCGTAGTGGCTTGACTCGGGGAGTGTGCCGACGGCTGCCACAAAGAAGCCATCAGTGTATAGGCGCTGCGGAGTGATAGAGACACCGATGGGGATGCCGAGCTCGTGGTTACTAGACGGTGAGGTGAGGATTTATGAGGATAACGCCGGTGGCGGCGATAAGTCAGTGGACTCCGTCGCATATGCATAAATATATGTCCAAGGATTTTGTCATTGGACGGCCGAGGTCGGCGAGCGTGACGACAGCGTGCGACGGACGTGAGGTCATCATCAGCCGAGGACGACGCCAAGAACGTTCGTGATAACAACCGGATTAGTCATGATGGTTGCCGATGAGTAGCTGTGTCTTCTCTCCCTGTGCCTCTGTATTTCTCTCATGTCTCACCTTCTGTTATGTGTATTCATCTCATGGCGTTGGCTCCCTCCCCAAATGAGGCATAAGCGATCTTTTTATAGTAGATGAATGACGGTACGACGTACTACTGATATATTGCCATGTAACAGGACGGCCGGATTGCAGAGAAAAAGGTTGCCATTTTGGCTGCTTAATTACCATGCATGCTCAACCAGGAAGCTTCCTGTTGCATTCCAATAGGAAACAACGTGATAATTTTCCATCTACTAATGATTGTGTGGTGGCATACTTCCATTCACCAGAAAATGCATTGAAATTATTCCATCAAGAGCAGATACACTAACTTGTATTTATATTTGGTTGTCGACATTAATTTTATATTGATCAGCATGCTGGCTGACTAGTGGGCCTAGGTAGATGCATGGTACCCTTTCTAATTTCATGGCAGTATTAATGTTTGCCTGCTGCCGGCAATCCAGTGTAATCAAGCACTAATTCCCCTTTTTAAAATAATCATAGAATGCACACATCAAATTAATTAATCACCGGCAAATGCACAGGAGCCCAGTATTTCTTGTGTACCTTGGAGAATAGTGCTTTAACTACAGTTTCTATGCACAAATCATTTTCATAATTTATTTCAGAGAAGCCCACAAAATCTCATCAAACAATGGGTAAATAGTCACCGCACTACCCCTTGCCATCCTCTCTCCACCGCATTGGTTCGTCTCGCTCCCCACCCTGTCTTCCTGCTCCCCACCCCGTCTTCCCCGACCTTGTCTCTCAAGATTAGCGGACCCAGGGAATAAGCAAAACAACATATTTACAAACGAAAAATAATTTGTGAATAAAACTTTTATATATGTTCTTAGTAATCTAAAAGAAAATGCTGAAAAATAAACTTCGATGAAAAAAACATCAAAATCAACTCTAAATTTAAGATAGAAAATTTAATTTTGATAGATAAGCATAAGCATAAGCAAAAAGATAAGGCCCCTGGAATAAATAAGACGGAGTGGACAGAAGTCACCTGTGTTGGCTCAGGCGGCGAAGGTGGCGCATGGTGGCAATAGAGGCAGCGCCATCCCTCCATGTATCACTGCTGTAGAAAGGGTCTTCACTCACGACCCCTGTAGTCCCGGTAATGCAACCGGGACCGTGAATTTGGGACTAAAGATAAGTATCTTTAGTACCGGTTGAAATAACATGACTAAAAATCCATCTTTAGTTCTAGTTGGAGCACTACGTGGCTGAAGTTCCCATCTTTACTCTTTTTTTCTTTTATTTTTAATTATTTTTTTGCTACTTATATTGATTTCGAACCAATCTCAACCACGAAACCATCCCATTCACAAAACATCACAAAATCATCAACAAATTCACAGATCAAATGAACATACTCAAATTGACATCACAAATTCACAGATCCACCATATGAACAAATTCACATCACAAATAAACAATTTCACATGAAACAAATTCACAAATTCGCATCCGCATAGCCCGCTGCAGCTGCCCCGCCCGCGCAGGCACCCCCGCCCGACGTTGCTCCCCGCCCGGTGCTACTTCCCACCCAACGCTGCGCGTAGGCGCCCCCGCCGCCCGGTGCCGCGCTGGCCGCCGCCCGACACGGCTCCTCACCTGGCGCTGCTCCTCGCCACTGGAAAAAAAAGGAAAGGATGTTGGAAAAAAAAGGAGAGGATGAGAGGATAGAGATAAGATAGAGAGGAGAGAGAGGAGGAAATGTGGTTACAGATGAGGAGGAGGTGAGGATAAGTGCTAGGGATTATATACGGTGCATCCATCTTTATGAGGAGGAGTTTATAGGGGAGGAGGTGAGGACAAGTGCTAAAGATTATATACGATGCATTCATCTTTAGTTTCGGTTGGTACCAACCGGGACTAACGATGTTGGGACGCCTGACCTATTTTTTATTTTTAGTCCCGGTTGGTATATCGTAAAATTATAAACCAGAACATATTCTTTAGTCCCTATTTCTATCTAAATCGGCACTAATGTAGATTTTACATGACCCAGCAAATATCAGTTTTTTAGTAGTGTATTTTCTCCTTTCCTCCCAATCTGGCAACATAGGGTTGCGGCTGAGGGCGGTGCACGGCAGCAGGTGTGTTGCATGACACTCAGGTTGAGGATAAGCAAGGTGGCGCAAAAAAAGAAATTGTTTAAGCTTTTTTCTCAACCGTTCTCAGTCCTACTAACAGCCATTTGCTTTTATTATGACAATTTTATTTTCATCGAATGACTGTATAGAGCAGTAATGATTAGAGATCACTGCTTCTTTCTTACTGTTCCATTCCCACTTTTTACCAAGTGACCAACCTATTCAGTGGCGTATGTAGAATTTTTATATAAAATGGTCCAATTTTTTTATTTCTAAATATTTTAAATATAACAAGATTAAAATATAAATGAATCAAATGTGCATCATAATATAGAAGTATAAATTGATCAAATATGCATTATAATATACTAATAAGAAAGTTATTTTTTTCTCATTTTTTTCACACATATATATATATATGCATTAGATTAGGATTTTTTTAGGTGGTCACCCTTTAGATCCGCCTATGAACCCGTTAGAAATCCATTACTTTCACATGAATGGTGCACATATTTAGAGAAAAACAATGTAATACTTGTACACATATGAATTGGAGAAAAAGGGTACTTATCTCTAGAATGGGCTAAAAAGAGTGGGGAGAACACATTGCGTTCCTATTTCCAAACAATAATTAGAGTTTCCTACTTTCCCGATCGTTCATTAAAAAAGAAAAGCACAAAAACATTCTGAACATGCACGCACACGCTAATACTATGCCTGTTAGAACTGTCTGGAAATTTCAGATTTAGATCAGACAGCATTCACACGGAGTCCCATTTTCTCACTTGGCGTTCGCATCGATCCACTTGACAGTGACGAACAGCTCGCCGGACTCGACGTCGCGCAGCCGCAGCCTGGCGTCGAGCACGATCTCACCGTCGGCGTACGTCACGAAGCTGTCGCACATGAGGCAGTTGTCGACGCTGGCGGCAACCTTCCGGAGCTTGGTCTCCCCCGTCGTCAGCCGCAGCGCACGCCGCAGCTTCGCCGCCGCGGCCACCGGCTGCAGCTCAAGAAACGCGTGCCCCATTTTATCGTCGTACTTGAACCGGTCCCAGTCGAACACCTCCTGCCAATGATAGCAGAATTAGCAAGGAGCCACAGAGTTGTTCAGTTTAGGCCAAACAAAAGTGTACTTAATTACTCTTAGCAACCCTCCTAAGTTGTAGACATTAATTAACTGCATGGAGAGATACTTATGTACTTGTGTCCTAATTTCACTCCAATATTTAAATATGGCATATTCAGTCACAAGTAGAATAATATCCATCACAAGGACGCCATCTGGAGTGAAGGTTCGGTACAAGATTGCGAGGTTGGCTTACTTTATAGGACTAGAATACTACTGCATCAGCTTGTGGAGTAGTTGCTAAACCAAGTATATTAGCACCGACAAGGTGACATGGCAGAATGTCTATGACCATATCTCTCCTTGGTCAAAGTATCAACAAAAAGAGGATGCTGAATCATACACGAATAAAATTATATGACCACTTCTCTCCTTGGTCAAAGTATCAACAAAAAGATCATACTGAAAAAAAATTCATGGGAAACTAAAGGCCTGTTGAATACCATCTCTTGATGAGATCAAGGATCTTTATTGAAATTAAATTTTGACTAGGTGAAGGAACAGAGAAACCTACGAATTTGATGACCCCTGCTGGTTCTTCGATGGAGAAGGACATCTCTTCGTTCCAAACTGGGTTTAGGCAGCTGTTGATGACTTTTGTCTTCTTATTCTGCAGAGCCAAAAGAAGAATGAATTACATGTCATAGAAGACAAATGCCCCCTCATTCTTTATGAAAAAGACAGTAGTCAGTCAAGCACACCTGCTTTGACAGATTTCACAAGTACCAAACCAAATTACTTGCTGGAAGTGAGCTTTTAGCATAATAAAACAATGGTTAGGGACTGAAGGGTTGAGAGCTCTCAGTTTTCATAACAAGCAATAGAGATAGGAAATTATTCTTATCTCGGTCTAAGTTTTCATAACAAGCAATGGATGAATGCCGAGGCTTCAGTGGGTAGGGTTAGCATTGGATAAAAGAAAAGACGCCCTTTCATGGACCATTTCAGCTTAGGTTTCTATCACCAAACGAGTGTTAAAAACTAAGAGCATAGACTTTCTCAAGTTAATACCATTCTCTTGCTTTTGAATTGTGGATTCTTGCCTTTTAAGAAAAAAATTTAACAAGTATAGTTGTTGTGATCAAACTAAACATACCACGTACAGAAAGAACACCAAATTGCATAGGGAGAAAAATTGACTTAAAAATTGGTTATCAACAACAAAAAAAAAACTTTCCTCTAAAAGAGAGGTTTGAACATTCTCAAAGCAGTCTTGCTAACAAGGACATAAACGGCCAAAAAGTGCATCACTCTCATGTTTAATCAAAGGAAAATATCATGGCATAGTTAACATGTGACAGGAGGTGAGTATGGCACTCAAATTCTCCATACCTGACGTTGAAAAGCCCAAGCAAAATTAAAGAGGCTGGTCAAAAAGTAGGAGAGTAATTAGATCAACCGCATTGCGCCATGACGAGCACAATCTCAACGAAGTGGAACAGTTGTTGTACTTCAGCTAGTAATTTCAGTTGTCCTATCTTTCCTTCGAAGGACCAATTTTCGATTGTAATAACAATGCAAAGATGTTTAAATTTCCGGATCGCCAGAACAAATCAGAAAAACTGTGTCCAAAAAGGTGCGCGGTTATGTTGCATATTCTCGAAGAGAGAACCAAAACGATTAGTTGGAGAGTCACTCATTAGGAACACATATACGTGGGCAAATCATCTCCAAAAGAACCGTCGTTCAAAAAAAAATCTCCGAAAGAACTCGGAGGTATAAGGCAGTAAACGTTCGTTCTTGGTGTGCCTGGCTAGGCAGAAGGTTCAAAATAGCACTTTGTCTGGACGCAATGAACAAAACAAAGGCAGGCACTTGTCTGCAGCGCGGAGCATCTATCTCTAGTCTCTTTCAAGACTGCAACTGCTGTAAGAAGTTAAAGGCTTTGTTTAGTTGGAGAAAAATTTTAGGTTTGATTGTCACATCGGATATACGGACACACATTTGAAGTATTAAACGTAATCTAATAATAAAACAAATTACAAATTTCGCTAGAAAACTGCGAGATGAATTTATTAAGTCTAATTAATCCGTCATTAGCAAATGTTTACTTTAGCACCACATTGTCAAATCATGGCACAATTAGGCTTAAAAGATTCATCGATTTTTTTTCCACATTTAAAACTCAATGCATGTGTCCAAACATTCTATACAATGGGTGAAAAGTTTTTGTTCTTTAAAGGTAAACAAAAGCACGTGCTTGGACTTTGGACCGTACGTTGGCTACAGTACAAATTAAAAGACTTGCCCCGCTTCAGAAGCAGAGATGGAGATAACTGAAACAATCAAAGTCTAGTAGTATAGAATAGTAGTACTAGTAGGTAATTAATCCGCACACTGAATGCGTAATTAAGCAAAGATTAACCTCCTTGTAAGATGATTAAGTAGTGAATTTAACCGATCGAGAAAGGGAGGGTGACTGACCATGGCGGCGAGGCGGACGACGACGTAGGGGTCGCTGGAGGTGAAGTCCCGGACGGCGAGGTTGGTCCCGCTGGCCACCACCACCTTGAGCACGCCGCGGCGCTCCCTCACACCCGCCTCCTCCTCCTCCATCCCCCACCCCACGCAGGTCTCCTCGGTTCACCACCTGAGGTGAGGAGGAGAGCGAGCTATGAAGATGGTGGCGCGCTCGCTTCCTCGTCCTTCGCTTCCTCGTCGTCGCGCGGTCGCGGTCGCCGTCGCCGACGAGGTCGCGGGAGCCTCTGCCTCTGGCTGGGGGAGAAGGGAAATGGAATGGGAGAGAGAGAGTTGGGAAGAAGGGGGACAGGTGGGGGGAGGAGGTGGGGGGTTTGTAAAGGCTGGAGGTGGGGCCCACACGATGGGGCCATGGGCCATGGGCTCATCACTCATCACGCGGTGCGGGGTGTGGAAGGGCGACCCGGTCGGTCCGACCGACCTGGGCGTCGCGTCGCGGTCAAAGCCGTGGGGCGGGGCGGATCGGATTGATCCGGTCACTCGCTCGGCTCGGTTGCTCCTAGCTCGAAATGGCTTGTGCTGCTGTAGTTCAACGACCGCGAATTACAAACACAGCTTATAACCTTCCTCCGTCCCATCAAACCTGACGTTCTAAGATTTCTCAATTAAATTAGTGTTCATTAAGAATGACCAATTTACCTTATTTGCTTGATCATTTATACACACTCTAGAACAATCAGTGACCAATTTACCCCCATTTACTTGATTCACTTACTTCCTCCGTCCCACAAAAATTGTCGTTTTAAGGTTCCTCACATAAATCAGTGTTCACTAAAAATGACCAACTTATCCTCTATTTCATTTAGCTCTCATTTGCATACATCCTCTATTTCATTTAGCTCTCATTTGCATACAGTTCAGAATGTTCCACTTTGTTGCAGTTAAATAATAAATCAACCACAACTTGATTGCCACGTGGGATTTACATAGGCAAAATGGCGCCAAGGCCACAAAAACTATATAGAGAAATCAATCATTAGCATAATTCAAACATTTGAATCAACTCATTATGGGTGTTTTGGCGGCTTGGCGCCTAGTTCTGCCTTTTCCATTTTGAGACCATCTTTGCTTCATCTCAATCCATTCCATCTCCCTGTAATCCAATCCACAAGTCCTGGAAATATCAACCTTTACTCCATCTCAATTCATTCATCTTATTGTAATCCAATCCAAAGCCATACATATGAAAATGGTTAGAGATCTCAATTTACCACCAGAAGATGAAGGAGATGGACGAGCATTACCTGATCTCAGTGGAGGAGAAGAGAAGATGGAAGACATGCTGATGTCCAAGGAGATAACCTTGATCGAGTTGAGTGGTAGGAACATGTACAAACTCTACACTTTTTGATCTTAACTACGAGGCTTTAGAAGAAGAAGAACAAATACATCAAGGTAAGTTGATTTCCAGCCTTTGCTTGGCTTTTGTTTCCAAGGCAAGCATAATATTGTGTAGACTACTCCATTTCAGTTTTACATTCAATAAAAAAATACCTATCTAAAATGAAGACTAAAATGAGAGGATTATGTTATACTCATTATTTATTTTCAGGTAAATAGAAAAGTGTAAACATACAGGTGAATACATATGGTTCTTCTTAGGGGAACAACTGTTGATGCCACGAAAACTTTTTCCTCACACTTTCCTCCCTCTGAAGATACCCCTAATATGAGCAGTTAACATTGCTAATAAAAGGATGCATGGGCCAGGGTTCCAATATTATACAAAAACATTAAACTAAACTATTCAAACTGGATGGTGAGCTATTTGTGCAGCATCAAATACGTATTTATATTTACATAGGTGAATGAACAATACAAATTTGAAAGAATGAATGTTACCTTTGAAGCAATTGCAAAGAATTGAATTGAATGCTTTGCAAATAAATTTCCTACAAAAAGAAGAAAATTACCAACTGAACGCCCATATCAAAAGAGTTAAGGGTTGAACCATATCACTCTTACATAAAATTATGTGGAGAAAACATACCCTTTAACCCAAAATTGTTAGTATTTTTTTTAGAAAACTTATTATTGCTTATACAAACTAAATTGAATGAAGTTATCTTTACATGGCCTTGTTAGCTGGTGAGCCTATCAACCACCCCAACTATCATTTTTGTTGAGTTACTGCCTCAACAGAGAGAAACAATATAAAAATATCTTTGCAATAACTATTGTTACATATTCAAAGGACCTTGATGTCGCCTAGAGGGGGAAGGGGGTGAATAGGCGTTCCTAAGAATTATCACAACTTCTTAGCATATTAGAGTGATGAGAACTTTCGATTCAAATCGGAACTTCCGGTATGGGATTGGAAGTTCCGGTCTCAACCGAAAAGTTCGGCGTATAACGGAATAAACACTAGCTATGAACTTGTAGATCGAACAAACAAAATGTATATGAATCAAAAAGTGACAAACAAGGTATCTAAACAAGATATAAGGTCACCAACAATATTAATTAAGCATGCAAGTAGATCGGGTAAAAACAATCTCAAGCACAATATGAGAGATGGCAAGAACGAGCAAACCAAGAGAGGAGACATGTTGATTTGTTTCCCGAAGTTTGGATCCACATATTCTACGTCTCCATTGAGGGACCATAAGGCTGGGTCTATTTCAACCCTTTCCTCAAAAGCACCTTGTACTCCTCGGTTTCACTCTTGATTTCTTCCCTTGCGGAGACAAAATCGAAGCCTTCACAAACTTTCCGTGGCACACCACAACCTTGGGTGCTCATCGGCGATGCCTAGCAGTCTAGAAAGACCTTAGTCCCCAAGAGTAACAAACACAATCGAAGATTTGCTTGCTATGAACTCGAGTGCTCAAAGTGTAGAGTGAAGCTCACTAGCTCTCAATTTCTCAATCTCTCAATACAACTCTCTCCCCTTCTCAAATCCCTCTCACAAAGAGGCACCACAAAGGATGGAGTGAAGCTCACTAGCTCCTAACTCCTCACTCTCTCAATCCAACTCTCTTCCCTTCTCAAATCCCCCTCACAAAGAGGTACCACAAAGGATGGGAAATGGTGATGGCTATTTAGGTTTGGATGTGTCTAATGTTGCCCAAGAACAGCAGCCACTCAAAGGAGGGGTGGAGGAGTTTATATACCGAAGCCTCTCAAAAACTAGCCGTTGGAGACAAAAGACTGGAATTTTCGGAACTCCGAAAATTTACAGAAGGTTTCGCAGCCATTTTCGGAACTTCTGATAATTTTCGGAATTTCTGAAATATTTTCGGAACTTCCGAAAAGCACAGAGTAAAATGACTATAACTTTTCGTTCGGGAGTCCGTTTTTGATGAACTTGGACTCTATGGAAAGCTCACTAAGAGGACTACCCAACTCAACCAAAAACAAGGTCTAAAACCAATCAAAGGATAGGTTAAAGCTTGGGTTTCTCTCAAGGTAGCACTATGATAGGTCACTTTGAGCACCGAGACATACACAAACACCTCGACGTTGCATCACTCTTAATAATACGATATTCCTAAACTCAAATGTAAATAGGAAGAGAATTATACCAATAGGAATGCCTTCTTTCCATCTTTCTTTTATTGTCTTAAGGGACGTCAATGCCGATTCCGTTCACCATATATTCTTCAAATGATTGATGCGGTTACTTGTAGCTTCAAATGGCCTCGCACGGTCCATCATGACGAAGCTGTCACTCGCCCTTCACCACCGGATTTGGTTCTTCGGCGCCAAGCCCCTCACTTGCCCTTCACAGCCGCATGGTCCATCGTGATCGAGCATCGCTTGCCCTTCACCGTCTTGCCATAGTAACCACTTTATATCCCACATCTTCAACATTTTCACTTTGTCATTCTTGGTATCGTTAGGTGCAATGATATCACTTGAGCATCAACACCTTTGCAATCCTTGGGACCTATTTCTCTCATTCAACTTAATAAAATTATTAGTCTCAATGATCCGGTTGTCAACCTCCACATGTTGACCAACTGATCGCGTATATAAAAGGATATGAATAAATGATGAGTACTAATCAACACCACAAGTGTCATATACTCAAATATATGCTCAAATGTAAAGATCCCAATTAAATGAAAGTGAATAACTTGGATCGATTACATGCATAACTAAAGTATAGGATTTACTCCCCCTGAATGTATGCATACAAAATGTTTGTGTGAAGCAAGAGTATGCATGAATGAATGAAACATTAGTAGCTTATCCTATACAAGAATAGAAGGCATTTATCAAATATACGCATTAAAATAAAAACATACCTTCATCATCTCCATGTTCTCAATGTAAAGAGACTAAACAAGATATGGCTCAAACAAAATATTAGTCTCACATGCTTATGTAATCACATGAAAATATTATATATTTGAATATATCAATATATGCACGGAGAGAAAGAGTGTCATATATAGCTTGATCTCCATAAAGTATAGGATTTACTCCCCCTAAATATATGCATACAAAATGTTTGTGTGAAGCAAGAGTATGCATGAAAGAATGAAACATTAGGAGCTTATCCTATACAAGAATAGAAGGCATTTATCAAATATAGGCATTAAAATAAAAACATACCTTCATCATCTCCATGTTCTCAATGTAAAGAGACTAAACAAGATATAGCTCAAACAAAACATTAGTCTCACATGCTTATGTAATCACATGAAAATATTATATATTTGAATATATCAATATATGCACGGAGAGAAAGAGTGTCATATATAGCTTGATCTCCATGCATTTCTGTGACGCCCCACACTCTCCGAGGCCGGGCCCTCTTACATCTGACATAGACTGCCCTCACAAACCAACACAAGTCTTTTCTGCACACTTTGTCCTCACTCGTGCGCACCTGGGAAGAATTTTCCAAAGGCCAACCACGCTTAACCTCAAAGTTCTTTCGAAATCGGCTTCTGGAAAAGAAGTTGCAACTTGTTGATATGAGTATTCTATTAATCCTATTAAGCCCTAAGCCTTGTGATTTAGGTACACCATCAATGAACGTTTCACATAAGAAGTCCGGAAATCACCTCTCACATATTCCACTTTCATATCCACATGAGACTAGGCAAAGAAATGTTTATAAAAACATTAGTCTCATATAATTGGATTTGTCATTAATCACCAAAACCAAAATAATGGCACTTGAACTTTCACATGTTGGAAAGGAATTGAATGGCAAAGCACATGCATATAGCTATATCAAAATCCATTTTATGCAGGGAGATATATCAAAATAATAATACTAAAACCAGCAACAAAAATTATTTATGTGAATTAAAACAAAATAGTGGTTTAGATAGTTAATTGTGG